TTCGAAACTCCCAATAGTATTATCTTTCTTAATTTATCGCTTTTCCAAAAATTCCTCCCACAAAAGAACTGGTACTGAGACAGGTAATATCGTATACCTGTACCTATCGTATTTACCCATGTCTCTGGCGCTTGGAAATATAATAACTATGGCAAACAACGGCAAGCGGCGGTTTGCTTTCTAGGGGTTGAGGTTGCCTGGGTTAAATTTGTAGTGGGAGGTGCAAAATTCACACTATTTATATCCTAATGAGCATCATATTTGCATTCATAAATAAGCAATTTATTGAATGTTCGTATTTTTCTGCTTTTTTCAGCAATCAACATGCTACGAGACAAGGCACCCGGCACTTTTGTAGTTCGCGACTCGAACAGTTTCCCAGGAGCATTTGGGCTAGCTCTAAAAGTCGCTACACCTCCACCCGGAGTTGCTCCAGGTAAGCGCTTTGTTTACCCGCTGATTGAAAATTGTCTTGCCTCGCTTGAATGGATTATCCAAAACAAAGCAGTTAGGTTGTTTGTCCACGCAGCCTGGCAAGTGTAGAAGCAAGCTCAACTCATGTATTAGTTATTTGTGTCGTCGAAGTCGTATGCATGATTGCCTGACTTCGATGGAATCTCTTGTCGAGTGAATAATTCGTAGGAAGAACTAATAGCTGTGCGTTGAAGGCGCTTGTAAGAGCTTAGGCTACGAAGAGGACTGTTAAGAGACAAAATGAGAGATGAATCATTTGGAGGTGATTCATTACTCCGAGCGTGCTTCAGGCTGAATGTTTTGTCTGAGATATTGTAGAAGTGCCGAAACTATGAATGTCGTTATAACTAGTACAACCGCTGCTATTTTGTATGAATTCCTAGATGATTACCATTACTGGTAACTGTGAACATAACAAAATTCCTTAGCGAAGGGGATATCTTTGCTTCTGGCTAAAAAAAGATATTTGGGAAGGTTATGAAAGTGCTAGAAACTTGCAAGCGTTTGGCATTTGCCAACTGCCTCCACTCACAGAGAATGAGCGGCTCGCTGAATTCTTCACATTCT